AGCCACTTTGAAGATATAAATATGTAATACAACAAGCATTGTTAATTCCCTACCACTTTGTTTGTAACTCTGTATTGTCTGTACTGTGCTTGTGATGTAAAATGTTGTATGTCTGTTAATGTTTCCCTCCTTTTATCTTTAAAATAAAAAAAAAATTTTCCCCTCATTTTTAAAGTATATGTTCATTGAACATAGAATTAAAGGTTAACAGCTATTTTCTTTTTAAACACTGGGCCAATCTGCTATATTTTGGTTTCCATACTGTTCAGTGTTAAGTGTCACTGTATTTGATACTTTCTTATAGGATATTTTTCTTTTATGTTTGACATTTAAAATCTTACATTTTGTTTTCTGTAGTTCCAGTATATTATATTCAGCTTTGGGAATGCATGAAAGTATGTGTGTGTGTGTGTGTGTGTGTGTGTGTGTGTGTGTATGTGTGTGTGTGTGTGTGTTTCTGTTGAGATAATTGAGTTTCATAAATCTGAGTACTGGTATCTTTAATGAATTCTAGAAACTCTATCTGGAAAAATTGTTAGGTATTAGTTCTTTAAATTTTTTCTTCTTCTTTCTCTGAAATTCTGGCCGTTCTTCCTGTATCTTTTATTCCCCTAAACTTCCATATCCTGCTATTTCTTCCTTGTGTCTATTTTTTCCTATGTTACATGCTGCGTAATTTGTCGTTAATTTATTTTCTACGTTATTAAATCATTTTTTAACCATGTCTAATATGCTATTAAATCTTTACATTAGGTTTAATTTTTAGTGATTATATTTTTCATTTTAGGAGTTTGTTAAAATTTGATAGTCATGCTTTTTTAGTTCTGTTTCCTATGGTTATTTAAACTTGTTTTCTGTGCATGACTGTAATCCTAGCACTTATGCGGCTAAGGCCAGAGAATTGCCATGAGTTCGAGGCCAGCTTGGACTGTGTAGCAAGACCCTGTCTCAAAAGGCCAAGAAAAAGAGAGAGGGAGGGATGAAGGGAAGGAAGGAAGGAAGGAAGGAAGATAGGAAGGAAGGAAGGAAGGTAGATAGGAAGGAAGGTAGGAAGAAAGAAGGAAGGAAGGTGGGAGAGGGAGACTTTGGGTGTAATAGATGCTTTTCGTAATTTTGATTGTGTTTCACAGGTACATACTTGTAAGTTTTATGTCTGTCTCCAAAGATGTGATTGTCACATAAATGTAGTTTTAAAATGTTAATATACCTCCGTAAAGCCACTCCATAAACCAGATGAGTTGATTAGACCTCTAAACATTTAAAAAAAAAAAAAAAGGATCTTAAGGGCCAGATTGTTTCTTGGAGTGTTTGGGGGGGGCAGGAGAGAGAAACAGAGACCCAACAGATGACAAACTTGAGTACAACCATTACCTGCATTTGAATCCAGTCATGTAGGAGGACAGTTTTGAGTCCCTTTGCTTTTGAATTTCCAACCTGGTTGGATTCCTGTAGTAATTCTTCGGTGATCTGTTGAGTCTCTGTTCAGCCTTGTACTTCATGTCACCTTGCATCCTCATTTGAAGAGATTTTACTGGAGTCTGCTTTGTACAGACAGGTTATTGGAGATACCAACTGCACCCTTCCAACCTCCTCTCATTAGCCTTGCTTGGCTTACTTAGGAATGACCTTTGCAATTGCCTGAAGATGATAATTTTGCTACTAATTTCTTATATTTCCAGGAAGACCGGGCCCCCACTTAGGACTTTATTTATTTACTTATTTGTTTATTTTTGATCTTTTTGAGACAGGGTTTCACTATGCAGTTCAGGCTGGCCTAGAACTCACTTTGTGGCCCAGGCTGGCCTTGAACTCAGAGCAATCTTCCTGCCTCAGCCTCCTAAGTGCTAGGATTATTGGTGTACACTACGAGACCTGGCTATATTTATATTTAAATGATATATGATGGACAAATATATTTAAAACTATATTCTTTTTATTTATTGTAATTACCTTTACAAGTTTTTTTTTATTTGAACTTTCTTGTTGTTACTGTTGGTTTGGTTTTTTCCAGACAGGATCTTGCCATTTTGTTCAGGCTGGCCTTGTAGTCCAGGCTGACCTCAAACTTGTGCCAATCCTTCTGTCTCAACCTCCTGAGTACTGGGATTACAGGTGTGCACCCCACCATGCCTGGCTTGAACATGTGCTCCTAACATGTACAGTGATACGTTGGTGGCTTCAAGCTCAAATTTTGCACTACTTTAACAGCAAAGTTTGAAAAAATTCTGCTCATTGTTCATAACTTTGCCTGATAGTTGAGCTGAAAATCTGACTTGAAAAAATCTATATAGGCCAAGAAAGAATCATGCCCTGTGTCTTGCGCTGGACACAAAGGGTGACACTTTAGTTTAAGCACCACTCTCGCCCAAATAACATACAGTGCTTGTGTTAGCACATGAAAACATTTCTTCAAGTTATATATTAGTATGGGCTCACCAAACATGGAATGATTTCTTTTGGGAATCTGGTTTTTGGGGAAAACAAGAGCTAGATCATGATAAAATAGGAGTTAGAACAGTTCCAAGTGGAAATATCAGATGTTGAACTCCCTGGATCAATCTTTTTAAAATTGTAGGACTTTCTACAAAAGGCTGCCCTTTTTATTCAGTACTTGTATGACCCTTCCCAACCTCGACCTAGTCTCTAAAAAAATGTTCAGCTAAATGCATGAAATTTGACTGTAAAATGAGGGGTTATATAGTAAATAAACTATATCACTTCCAGTTTTTAAATCAGTCTTTTTAGAAATAAGTTTCTCATTATAATTTACATTTTAAAAAACTAGTTTTGTAATTTGTTGTGTAGTTTTCCTTTTTTCTTGTCTGTGAAGGAAGATACTTTTCTGTTTGAGAATCAGATCTCAGTAATTTTATAGAGCAAAATAATCTTTATGCACTCTGGCTATTTACAGAATTTTTTTTCTGCAAGAAAGGGCTTCCATTTTGTGGGATCATACATAATTCATTAATTTAAAGGCTAATGCTAGACTCAGAAACATGAAATACATTGCTTTGGCATACTAATCACATGTAAGTGAGTTATTTTTTAGAATAAAAAGTATCCTGTAAATGAAATAGCTAGTGGAGAACTCTGTTGTTGATGAGGATTTAATGACCCAGAGGTTTTCATTGTCTCAGAATAAAATAACTAAGATCAAGTTCAGTATTGTCATTCATTGGAGTACATGCAGCTCTATTGAACCATTTATGAGTTAGAAAGAATTTGTACAGATTTTAATAGGATAAGTGTTTCATACCACTTAATCTTTTTAAAGGTTTATATTTTTCTCTAGTTTTACCCAATTTGAGTCTATGGCTTAAAAAACTTTTCTTTTTTTTTGAGAAAACAGTCCAATTTTGTACTCAGATTTAATTAAAGAGTGTACACATTGATCACTACAGATTTAAATTTATATTGGAAATACATTGCTCATGATTATTTTTAAATTGGTACTTGATTATGAAATTAATACTAATTTCACATTAATCTGAAATTATTCATTTGCTTAGTGATTCCCTATTTCTTGCATAATTTGTGAAGAATACTGCAAAAATTTAAATTTTCTACAGGTCTGCTGTACATTATTGAAACCCAGAAAGTTCTTGACCTCAGAATTAATTTGAAGGCTTCCTATATTATTGTTCCGCAAGATGGAGTTTTCAGCCCTTCATCAAATCTACTTCTTTTGGATCTTGGTCATCTAAAGGTACATACTAACAGTATTTGATTTAGGAAATGATATTTAGGGTGTTTCTTTAAAGAAGTACTTTGGTTTTTAGACAGTTTAATTTGGCTTATTGATTTTTTAGCTTTATGATTGATTCCTTTCTGGTGGAAAAAGTGAAGTTTCATTTAATCAGTCTGATTTTTTTTCACTAAATTTTCAAAGTTAAAAGACCCAAGTCTAAAGTAGGCTGAAGAATTGTTTCTGTAGAATTTGATTGTTGTGTTTATTTTCTTTTCAGTTTAAATCTTTTACATGATTAATTGATGTATATAAAATGAAGTTAAAAATTAAATGCATCCTCATCCTTTTGCATATATATATGTAAATATTGACATTTTTACATTTTTTATTATTTTAAGTGGATGAATTGTTTTGGATTAACCCAAGACATTTCTTTTTTCTTTCAATTATGAACTCTTTTTTCCTTCCAAAAATTTGAGTGGAAAGTAGTTTTTTTTTCAGAGCTGTAACCTTCAGTGTAATACCTATTAACCACATGTAATTGATTAAAATTAAGTAAAAATAAAAATTCAGTTTCTTAGGTAACGTAACTAAGAGTTTAATAGTTAAAAGTGGTAGTGGTTACTCTATTGGACAGCACAGATTCAGAACATTTCCTTCATCATAAAAGTTATTTTGGACAGCACTACTCTAAACCATTAAAGGTAGAAGACTACTTACAACAATTTAAAAACCCAAAGGAGGTGAATAATATTAGAAAGATTTTTGTGACTATCTAATAAATATTATTTACCTTTTCCTAATATTACTTACTTCTTTCTCCCTTTCCCTTTGCTTTCCCCCGCTCTCCCCTTTTCTCCCATCCCTTCCCCTGCCCTCCTTTTTTTTCTTGTTGCTCTGTACTGGATACTTATATAGATGAATTGGCTTTATATTTATAATAAAATTTATATAGCTAATTATTCATAATTGAAATTGGTTATTGAATTGTTTCAAGGGCAGTATGGTACAGATAGAGCATAAGGTAAGGGTGTCTATGTAACTTTGTGACATTTGGTGATTTGCTTAACTTATATAAAACTTGTTACCTTCCAGACAGATAAGCTATGTAAAAAATGTTTTTTGTGTGTATATAAATGAATAAGATCTTTAAGTTCTGTTATGGAGTAGTGATCTGCTGAATATTTAAGTGAAAAAAATTTGTGTGCATAGTATGCCAAACAGGGGAGGTACAAACATAGCATGTTGAGAGTCATATAAATGGCAGAGCAGAGTTGGACTGAAATTCAGCTATAATATTAAACCCTGGGCTCTTTTACTTATTATCAAGCTGTCCATGCATCTGTCATTCTAGTATTTGTCATTGTAGTATAGGAATATTTTAAAGCTAAGTTTGTCTCTTGATCTTGTTCTTCATGAGAAATTTTAACCAGATTTTAAGATGTATTATTTTCCAGGACTATCTTGGTTTCTTTTAATAAAAAGAAATGGAAATTATAACTATATGTAAAAATTGCTTTTATATGTGTGCTTCTCATTATATCTCTCAGGGTTAATGACTTTTCTTAATAGCCTTATACAATATGTCTGCTTGTGAGTTTATTCTCCCCAATTAAAATTTTATATTATAGGTTTGAAAAATAAAAACTTATACAGTATTTACATTTTGAAGTATTTTGCATAATTTAAACTATTAAAATTAACTTCAAGGTGACAAGTAAAAGTCGTTCGGAATTACCAGATATGAAACAAGGTGGACCGAACCTTGAAGAGATAAGGCACAGAGCTTATGATTCTTTTGATGTTCAGCTTACAAGCATACAACTGCTTTATAGTAGAGTGGGTATGTATAAAAGGCACTGCTGATTTTGCTGAAGTGATTAATTAGATTTGTAGACACTTTCTCTGAAACCTGTTTTCATGCATACATTTAAACTAATATTTTTAAGTTAGATGTAATTGTAAGTATTGCCTGATTCTCCACTAGGAGTGAGTTTGACCCCCAAGACATTTGCCAGTGTCTGGAGACATATTTGGTTGTACAGGTAGTGGTCAAGGGGCACTACTAACATATAGTGAGTGAAGGTCAAGGATGCTACTAAACATCCTACAATATGCTATATAGGTTAGCTCCCCACAAAAAGTGTTGATATAGTCAAAGTTGGGGAATCTTGATTTATACCACTATTTTCTAATGTTGAACTAAAGGTTGACACATACTGCAAATGATATTTGTATTACACAGTTAGATAACTAGAAGCAGCTTCTGAATGCCAGAGGTATCCAGGCTAGGTCTCTAACAGACCGTGCCATGGTGGTCACACACAGACTGAGGACAGTCACTGTCTTAGGAATACCTTTATCCCAATTTCTCTGGTGTACCAATCAAGCATCTCTGATCTAGTGCTAAATTTTTAGATGAAGCGGAACCACAAATTCAGTTGACAAGAACACTAAATAGGAGACTTAACATTCACTCAGCCCTGTTTCCATTCTGCCATCCTGCCTCTGAATCCCTGTAGGGTTAGTGAACATTCATATCACTCAACAGTGAGTTAACTGATAAAAAGAGAAGCATTGGAAAGCCAGAGTAACCATCATTAAAATTGTTAGTTTATATAGGACTGGACCGTTTTTCTTTTTTCTAATTATATTTGCTTAAGCCCACAAATTCTTCTTTAGGAAATACACTATGGCATTTTAGTATGCTTGAGTGATATGGTCGCAAGTCTGTGAGCTGTACTTCTTTGTTAAACATTTAAAAAAATTTGTTTTTGTCTGAAGATTATTGGAATTTCTTAGAATTGTATTTGACAAACTTTACTGTTCTTAAATAATTGATTCTTTTGACATTGTGGTTACTTTATATTATTGTCATAAAATCTTTTGATAAATACCAAAACACATGCTTCTAGATAAGTTTTTATCTGTAATATGGGAAATGAAATAATTCACTCATCAAAATACTAGTAGAATTTGAAGAAAATATAGTAAAGCCTATTTTACCACTTACATCTAGGAATCTAATATTTCCCTGGCTAGTTTTTCAAGACTGGAATTTGACTGACTCGAGTCATTTGATATTTCAAATGAGATAGTGTTTATGAAAATGCATTGTACTACATAGGTACCACTAATCTTGGGTGAGTGTGTATGTGTATGCAGTTTTTTTTTCCTTCTGAAACTGAGGATTAAACGCTGGGCCTTCACCGTGCTAGGGAAATGCTGTAATCTTGTTACAGATGTTTAAAGTTACTTTTTGAGTTATAAATATGCCTATTTTAGAAAACCTGTACAATCAAAAATTTAAAAGAATCACCCTTTATCTTGCTGCTTAGACATGAACATTGTTGCTGTTTGGTTGTGTGTTCTTTCAGTGTTGTATTCAGTTTATGTACAAGGTGTACCAGTTATGTATGCTTGTGTGATGTTTATGTATGGAGGTATTTGTGAATGGATTTTTAAATACTGTTACATAGTTCCTATCCAAATATTTTCTTTACCAATATTATTTTGGACACTTAAATCTATGCTTTTTATTGGTTCTATTATAGTCAAAGGCTGTGCTGTAAGTTACTTACCCATCCCCTTACTGAACATACAGGCTTGAAATACTGCAGTGAGTGTTGCCAAAGGATCATATTTGTAGATGTGGATGTGAATTTTAGTGTTACCACTAGTACATTGACTATAGGAAAATTGTAAATTCTGACAGCCTCAGTTTTCTAAAATGGGATGATTACTAATTGTTGTGAGAAAATTTAAACATTGTCGAAAACAGAGGTGGTTATAAATCTTGAATAAGTGGTGCCATGTACAAGTTACTATTAAAGAAACTCAGCTTTTTTCCTGCCTTTCTCATTACTGTCTTACAGCCCTGTTATGTTTTGTATTCTAGGGTAAGCTGTCTGGTTGTAGTCATTGCTAGTGGATGCACAGATTTGGCTAGAACTGTGCTGCTTCTTATAAAATAAGCCTTTTTTGTATTTGAGTAGGCATTTCTTGTTTGTTTTGTTTTTAAATATTGAGACAGCTTCTCCCTGTGTAGTTTTGGCTTTCGAACTGAAAGTAATCCTGCCTCACCCTCCAAAGTGCTGGGATTACAGGCTTGCGCCACCAGGTCCTGATAATAAGCCTTTTTTTATAATAGAACATAGAGAATCTTGTGAAGTAGCTGAAGAGAAGTGATGAAAGGAAAAATACTTTACCTGCTCACTGTGTGTATTTTAGATAATTAGGATTATCTAGATGTGAGGTGATTTCCCCATCTCATTTGGTATGTGAATATGAAGTATTAATAATAATTTCATGTTCTATATGCTATTCAATTATGCTTATATTAAATATGTGCTGTTTTCTGTAATTAGGTGAGAATTGGAAAGAGGCACGAAAACTTAATGTATCTACACAGCATATTTTGGTACCCATGCATGTAAATGTGGAACTCTCTAAAGCAATGGTTTTCATGGATATTAAAATGCCCAAGTATGTAGTATTTATCTGTTTCATGTAATTCTGCATATTCTCAGTAATTTTGTAGCTAAGGAAATAACCATATTTCCCTGATTCTTTTTTGTGATAAAATATACATAACATAAAGTACTATTTAAGCTTTGAGTATAGTTTTTTTGCATTAAGTACATTCACCTTATAATGTACACCATTACCACTGTCCATCTCAAGAACTTTATCATCTTCCTAACTGAAACTTGTACTCATTAAATAATGTTCTCTTCTACACTATACGCAACCCCTGACAACATCTATTCTGCTTTGCCTTTATGAACTTGACAATTTTAGTTACCTTATGCAAGTGTGATCATACAGTATTATTCATTTTTGTCTTTTACTTCATCTTCTGCCTGGTTCTGTCCATTAGTGAAATTGGGTTATTGAAATCTTCTAATATTAGACAGCTGTCAGTATTTCTCCCTAATTTTGTCAGTGTTAGGTTCATATATTTTTGAGCTCTACTGTTTGATGCATATCTATTAATAATTGTTACATTTTATTATTGAACCTCATGTCATTTTATTATTTAATGATGTTCTTTGTTCATGGTTGTTTCTGATTATTAAATGCAATAATTTTTGCATTCTTTTAGTTTTGACCTGTGTGTCCTACTAAAGTGATTCTCTTGTAGATAGCATGTAGTTAAATCGTTTGTCTTATCTAACTTGTCAACTGATGTGTTTTGATTGTAACATTTAAATATTTACATTTAAAGTAAATACTGTTAGGAAAGGACTTATTTTTGTTTATTTGTTTTTTCTAAGCCTGTTTTATATCTCAATTTTCTTAGTCTTCCTTTATGTTTAGTTGATATTGTGACACATTTTGAGTTCTTTCTCATTTCCATATTTGTATATTTTACAGTTTTTTGGTTACCATGGAAGCACTACATATCCTAAAGTTAGTATTGTCTGCTTAAAATTGACACCAGCTTACTCTCAGTTGAAAGCAAAAGGTTACTTGTTTCTCATTCTACCCCCTTTAGTTATTAATGTTGCAGTTTAAATCTTCATATATTTTGTACTTATTAACATAGATCTATAGTTTTTATGCATTTGTTTCATTGTTTTAAATCCTTTGAAAATTATTTACAGTCATTTGAACAGACATTAATAAAGTGGTAAACACTACAAATATTTATAAAAAGTATAAAGGCATAGGCAGATTGATTAGGCAGAGTTTGCAAGTGAGAGAAAATAGGGAAAAGAGATTAAGCTTGAGGTGAATAGGGCACACTCTGGTGCAGAGGTTCAGACTGGTCCTTTCATGAAAGAATGAGGTAGCCTTTATGAACCTCCTTGCGGGAGAGTAGAGTGTGGTTGGTCATTATCTCATTTCAGGTTTTGTAGCTCCACAGAAATCTCTATGGCTTGAGGGGCAGTTCAGTTCTTCGGAGACGCTTGAGTGTTGAGGGAGTAGCATTGGTTTCTGTTGTGGGGTAATTTGCTCCCACTTGGGGAGGTGACCTCGTCATAGGGTAGACTACAAAATAGTGCTTTTTCTGGAATCCGAGGGGACTGCAGGTTTAGGATAATGACTGGAGACTTCATGGCACTCTAGGGGTTCTGCAACTGGACCTTGTGAAAGCTAGCAATTGGATGTCCCCGCAAAACGGAAATTACTTTAGTTACTACACTTGGTGTCCTCAGTCTTGAAGGGGGAGTGGCATAATCTAGCTAAGTTCAGGGCTAATTAACCTTGTAATACAGACACTGGCGTGATTAACAAGCACATGTGCAGAGCTGAGCAGAGATCTGACAGAAAGTTTAAAAGTAATAATACAAAACGAAAGCCAAGCTTTATTCTGCTTTTCGTCATCTACTGGGGTTCTGTAGTCTAACTGAAGAACTTTTTTTTTTTTTTAAAGCAAAAACTGCTCTTAAGTCTTTGACAGCCTCAGAAGGAAATAGATATCATGCTTTTCATGAATAACAGATAAGGGACAAGGGATTTGTCTTCTGTCCCTATGGTGGTCTCTGACTGTGTCACTTCCTTTGAAATTTGAGCTAAATATAAGTAAAGGAAACTACCAAGGCAATTAAAAGAGTAATGCAGTACCTATGTCTGGTATTGAGTCACGTTTTGGACATCTGATCTCTTGGACAAGTTACTCAACTTTGCTGTCCCTTAGTTTCCTTATAGGAATTGTATATGTGAGAACTCATAAGCAGTAGGGGACCACTGGATTGTGTACTTCATAGGCTATGAGGGCTACTTACAATAATGTGTATATTTTCTTCATTGTCCATCATATAATAAACATGTGATAAATAGTAACGTCATTTGTACTTGGCAAATAATAGAAAGACCATAGGTAATGTGGAAATCAGAGTAGTGATTTTTAGCACTTAAAATCATATTTAAATTTATATTTGTATAATTTGAGGGATAGAGTCTTTTTAATTAGTGCACTTAAGTCATAATGAAAGTTCCTCTATAATGATTTATGTATTTTAAAAACAGGTTCAAGATTTCTGGAAAGTTGCCTCTTGTTTCCATACGAGTCTCAGATAAAAAACTGCAAGGGATTATGGAATTGGTTGAAAGCATTCCAAAACCTGAACCTGTAACTGATGTATCTGCACCTATCAAATCATTTCAGGTATTGTTATTTTCAGAATTCAAAAAACACTTAAACAAGAAACTTCACAAATAATATCTGAAATAATCTTAAGAACCTCAGATAAAATTATTTATAATCATTTTCACACTCTATAAAAGAGAAATTGATGGAAAGGTAAAGGATACAAATATTTAAGAAGAATATAAAGTAAACTCCATCTGTGTCTGCTTCTGCAGTCTCCAATTCCTCTTTTTAATAGGAACACTATTAACCACACTTCTCTCATTTTTCAGAAAATTTTTATGGCACATTCTGTTACACATGTGTTTGTGTATTCTATATAATTATTCTGAATCTGTATTCTTGTCACTATTACTGCCATATATCTATATAGACCTTAGAGATGCAGTGGTGCTTTGGTTCATGAATTCTTTAGTTTGTGAACAGTTGGGCAGAATTTTGTTTTTGTTTGCGAAATCTGTATCCGCTGACGAATATGGCCACAGCCATCTTTCCCACATGAACAAAAACATGGCCGTCTTTTCCAGAAGAGTGGAATGAATGAAGTTTGTGAACTGAGGTACCACTGTATTTTCATGTTGGCACATACATATCTGCGTAATTCTTTTTCTTGGTTATGTAATTCTGTGTTGTGTGATTATGTCGTCTTTAATAATATATTCCCTTTTGATGTGTGTTCGTATTATTATTGTTTACAATTATGTAAAATGCCATATTGAAATTTCTTGTACATATATATGGTTATACTTTCATCCATAGGATAAATTCTCAGAAGTGGAATTGTTGATTACTCTTGATCTTAGCCAAAAGGCTGAGAAGTGATGTGGAATTGTTGATTAAAGGACTGTATAATTTTAAATTTTGATGGAATTTTGCCAAATTTTCCTTTTTTGAGTATTACTGTTACAAACTATTAATGGTAAATGAGTGTCTTTTTCCTTGCTCTTGTGAGGTTTAATATTAGCAATGGTTAACATTCAGTCTGAGAAAATGTCTTCTGATGTTGATTTGCATTTCTTTATGAGTAAAACACATTTCTAAATTTCATGATTATTTCAGATTAATTTTTTGGAAACTGCTACTCGTGTCTTTTGTGTGTTTTTTACCTATTGGATTATGTTTTCTAATTATGGAAATTATATTTGTCACTTAAAATTGTTTTTTTCCATTTTGTTGTTTTTCTTTTTCATTTTATTGGGGTTTTGTGTGTGTGGAGGTACTGGGGATTGAAACCCCCCAAGATCCTTGTGTATGCTAAAATGCTAGGCAAATGCTTTAGTGCTAAACTATATCCCATCCCATATTGTGTCAAATGCTGTGCCCCATGTTAAATTTGTATTTATGTTAAAATGATTTCAGTAAAGTTTATTTCTAGAGTGAATACAATGTAATGGAAATGAATATAGTGCTTTGTTGTTTAAAGACAGATATAACAGTAATCTTTTTTACTCAGAAGGTTTATGCCAAATAACCACATAATTAAATTCTTGCTTTAGGTAAAGCTATCTTATAAAAAGAATAAATAAAGCGTAAAAACTAACACTGAAGTTAGTGAAAAATTTCATATAGTGTGAAAAGATATTCAACATTATGACTCATCAAGAAAATGAGTCTGTATTGAAATACTATAGAATGGTGACTATAACAGATAAAAATAAAAAAGAATGAGCAGGGTCCAGGTCAGGGTACTGCCAGAGTAAGAATTTAATGCTGTCTGGAAAATGAAAAAAGGAAATACGCAAAAACCCTATGATACACTGCTATTGTAATTCAAAAAATGGTTAACCTCCCTTTAGAAATAGTTTGATAGTTTTGTTGAACAAAGTTAGATATGTACGGACCACATGACTTGGGAATTCTGCTTCAAGCATTTTACCAGACAGAAAGGAAAACGTGAACAGTTGACCTAGAATGCTCATACTAAAGTTACTTACGCTCTTAAGCAGTTGGTGCTTACCTTTAATCCCAGCACTCTAGGAGCTGAACAAGGAGGATTCCAAGTTGAAAACCAGCCTGGGCAATTTAGTGAGACCTTGTCTCCAAACAAAGAAATAAACAAAAAATAGGGAAAATCCAGTTGTGGAAAAACCTGAGTATTTATCAAAAAGTGAATGGATAAAAACTCTAATATATTCATACAGTGGAATATTACATAGAGAAAAATATCCATACCTGCATCATTGCTGGGCACTGACTAGGGAGGAGGTCAGCTCAAAAAATTCCAGGGTAGTTTAGAGAAAAGAATGTTGGAATACTGGTCAACCTATTTCACCAGCATAGCAAAATACATATTCTAAAACCTAACAGGAACATCGTAAAAGAGGAAAATAGTAGGCAATTTCTTTCATTAATGTAGGTATAAAGAGTTTAAAATATTGAAAATTGAAATCAGGTAGCATAATGGTTAATCTAGAGGATGCCTAATTCTTACAAGGAGCATGAGGGAGTCTCCAGATAATGTTCTACCCATGGATCATGGTGGGAGAATATAGGAGTGTTTTTATTTTTTGAAAAATTAGTGGACTATATACTTAGGGCTTATGTAAGTTCTCTGTAGTAGGTTATACTTCAATAATAGTATTGTTACCTCTCATCAAAAAAAAACAGAATTTCAGGAAAGGGCAAATAAATAGCCCATGAAACTATGAAATGATGTGTAACTATTATACATTTGTGAAATTCTAATTAAAGCTAGCATGACATTAGCAGTGAAATTGACAAAATTTAATGTCTTGGAGAAACAAGTATATTTGACAATAAGGAGTCATTCAGATTCTAAGCTAATGCTGATGTTAGTGTAATAACATTGTAAACACTTGTGAAAAGAATTTGATAGTACTTAATAAGGTGAATATAAATAATTGTATCCTTTGGGAAAATCTTGTATATGATTGTGTGAAGCATGTTCAAGGATGCTTATTGTGGCCCTGTGAGAGGCAAAAATCTGAAAACCACATAAAATTATACAAAAGGTGGGTAAATATTTGTTTACTCATCAGTTCAAAACAGTTTAGCAGGGGGCTGGGGATTTAGCTGAGCGGCAAAAGTGCCTGCCTGGCAAGCGCAAGGTCATGAGTTCGGTTTCCGGTACTGGAGAAAAAAACAAAAACAAAAAAAAAACAAAACAGTTTAGCAGTGAAAAATTGGTAAACTATATATGTGCTTAAACTTTATATTGTAAAAGAAGGAAATCACAGGAACATATGTGATACTCCCTTTTCCTACCATTTAGAGGCAAATTATACTGTATTAGAGAATCATTTATAGGTGCTTAAAGAAATAAAAGCAAAATTATGATCAGTGGTAAGGCATGTAATCAAGCAGGACCACATAAGTTTCTTCCAAGCAGGGTATGGTGATGTTTAGTTTCTTGGTCTAGGTGGAAGTTTCAGTGGTGCTTTTTTTTAAAAACTACATCATCTGTTTTTAAAGAGAACCAATAAAAAATAAATTTATTCAAATACCTTCATAATCTTAAAAATGAAACCGAGCTCTCCAACTCTAGTGGTATTAAGACTTGTGGTTTCTCGTGGATATCTGCAGGTGGTTTCCTTTTTAAATAAAATGTGAAGTTAAAATATATTTAAGATTTATTCTTACTCAGGTTATCAAGAAAATCATTACAACAGTTCTACTATTTATATTTAGCTTTGAGATTATAAAAACATTTCTTTAAATCATAGATTATGATTTATTTTTCTAACTTATATCTAATTTCTTACCAGTAATTCAAATTGAGTGGCTTTTTGTCAAAATTGTCTTTCCAATGTTGACTAGAAGTCTTTTTTTTTGGTCTTTTGAGACAGGGTCTTGCTATGCAGTTGAAGCTGGCCTTGAGCTCACTTTGTAGCCCAGGCTAGTCTCAAACTCACAACGATCCTCCTGCCTTAGTCTCCCAAGTGTTGGGATTATAGGTGTGTGCCACCACACCTAGCTGCTAGAAGTCTTTTTTTTAACTGAGTGTTGCTTTTCTTTCAGATTCAAACATCATCTTCTTTCGGAACATCGCAGATTTCACAGAAAATTATTCCCTTCTTGGAACTTCCATATGTTACTGAAGATGGTAAAATGAACATGCTTAAGGAAATTTTTCTTGCTACACATACATAGTTAAAGTAACTTGCATTATGAGGCATATTTTCTTCGTATGACCATGTAGAAAAGAGGAAATACCTTTTTCTTTTAACCTCTAGATTCTCTGTTAACAAAAGATACAAGATTAATCAAGTTTATTAGCTTTTATATTTCATGTGCACATGAGAAGGTACTCAGAAATGAGTAACTCAGGCCGGGCGTGGTGGCACATGCCTGTAATCCCAGCACTCGGGAGGCTGAGGCAGGAGGATTGTTGTGAGTTTGAAGCCAGCCTGGGCTACAAAGTGAGCTCAAGGTTAGCCTGAACTGCATAGTGAGACTTTGCCTCAAAAAGACAGAAAAAAAAAAAACCAACTCAAAATGACAATGAAAATTTGGATTTCTATACCAGTTTGGCTTAAACAAAAGGAAAAGGAGTTTGGAGCTTGGAGGGAGGCAGATTAGGGGAAGGTAACTAGGAAAAGTATTACAAAGAAAGTTTATGCAAAATAAAGTCAGCAGCATTTCCTTTGATAAGAATGTCATGTGGTTAAGAGTCATCTGGTACCACAGAGGGTGACATCTTTACAAGGGTAGATAAATTTTCCTTATAAACTTTTAACATCCTTTCCAAAAGAGAAACGTATGCTCTGACTTTGGAGCTCTTGTGAATGCTGTTTCTCAAAATAATCAACTCAGTATAATCTGTATGCTGGAGAGACACGATTTGGAGTAGCATAGTGTAATTTCCTACAGTCATTCGAAAGCTTTCAGGTGTAAGCTGGGCGTGGTGGCGCATGCCTGTAATCCCAGCACTTGGGAGGCTGAGGCAGGAGGATCTTCGCAAGTTTGAGGCCAGCCTGGGCTACAAAGGGAGCTCGAGGCCAGCCTAAACGGCCTATTGAGACCCTGTCTCAAAAAAGAAAAAAACAAAACAAAAATCCCCCTGAGAATGTTATTTGTGCAAAAGTAATTTTAAATCTTGTTTATATTAAATTTAAAAATAAACTTTTAGTATTTTAATGTCTATATTTATTTCAAAGGTTAAAATATTCATTTCTATTATTGACTTAAAACAATGTTCTATTAAATTTAGACTCAGAGGAAGAATTTTTTGATGCACCATGTAGCCCCCTGGAAGCACCTCCTCGAGTTCTAACTAGAGTTAAAAGTATTCAACAAAGAAAATTAGAAAAGCAAGATAGTCCAGTAAATTTGACTCAGTTTAAAATACGATTTGAAGTAGAAGAGGTATGTATCATGATAAAATAAATGGGTTTTTCATTTGTGCTGTTCATAGCTTATTTATAGAGTCCCACTGCTAATAGGCCCTGTTGTTTTCATTCTGATTGAAGCTTGATACAGACTTGCTGTGGTTCACTGTAATCCCTCTTTTTGAAGATGAGCTTCCTTAGTTAAGAATCAAGTGTAGATGATATGCTATGTATATTCATATTTTTTGAAAAATGATTATTTATATGCAGTAGTATAAGTATATAGGTGGGAGGTACAAAAGGGCTCCTAAGTTTTAAATATGTAATGTATCATGTGTGTATGTATCCTATATCCATACATATAACTACCATGTATCTAAACATGTTTTCGTTTAACATAATGGTTGTTTCTTTTTTCTTCTTCTGCAGGTTTTGATTCAATTTTATCATCTTGAAGGAGATTGTGAACTACCTGTGGTAGAAATTGATGTTTTAAGGTCAGGCATGGAAGTTGAAATTAGAGCATTTGATTTGAAAGCAAATGCCTTTTTGAAAGAGTTCTGCTTAAAATGTCCAGAATTCTTCGGTGAGAATCTCCATTTTTTAAAAAAATAGACAAATTAATTTCATAGTTTTAAAGGCTGACACTCCAAGCTCCAGTGGCCTCTGGTAAGGATGTCCTGGTGGATGACATTGTGGTAAGAGCGTGTGCAGAAGAGGTCACGTGGTGAGACCAGAATCCAGAGAATGATGCGGGTGAAAGACTTCCTCTTTCATAACTGCTTCTCCCTGGAACTAACTGTATCCCCCAAGGGCCATGTCCTCAGTGTCCTGATTATCTTCTACTAGACTCCACTTCTTAAAGTTCTGCCATCACACTGAGAGCTAGGTTTCTAACACATGAGCTCTTAAGAGAAATCACATCTAAACCAATGCTGAGTTTTTATGTATGTATGTATGTGTGTATGTGTGTGTGTCTGTCTGTCTTTTTTGAGATGGGGTCTTGCTATGCAGTTCAGGCTGCCTTGAGCTCATTTTGTAGCCCAAGCTGTCTTGAACTGGCAACAGTTCTCCTGCCTCAGACTTCTGAGTGCTGGGATTATAGGCGTATGTCACCATGCCTGGCTAGCAGAGTTAGCTTTAAACTTTATCATATAGTTGGTTCCCTTGAAGGCAGGGAATGGGTAGACCATAGAAAAATGAAGTTTTTTTGTTGTTGTTGTTAGGGAAAATTCATTAGGATTAAATTTTAAATCTACACTGAATACAGGAACACTAAATTAGTTTCCTGTTAGTGCTATAACAATATACCACAAATTTAGTTTCTCAACACAAAATAGTATTTTGAGGTCTCACTGGGCAAAAATCAAGGTGTCAGCAAGAGTTAGTCTGTGTATACTCTAGAGGAGGACCTATTTCCTTGTTCATTCAAGTGCTGACTAAATTCAGCTGCATGTGACTTACATCTGTTTCCTTACTGCCTAATAGTTAATGCTGTCTTTAATTTCTAGAGGTCTCTATTGGCACTTGCATTATAATTCCTTACATCTCAGAAGCAGTGTTGAGTGTTAGACCGTCAGTACTGCCATTTCTAACCTCATTTACCTATTGCTTCCACTCTTACAAAGCCAGGTGATTAGATTATACAGAGTGGATAATCCAGGATAATCTCTATTTAACCGTAATCAGTTCAGTTTATTTTGTTATATGAGCAACATATTCTCAGATTTTGGGGGATCAGAGTGTAGACTTTATGCAGGAGCAGTATTCTTTCTTCCAAACACCTTTTATTTTCCAGAGTCATAGGGTATATACCTAACAAAATATTTCTATTTCTGTGTTAGGCATTTAGGTCAGTGCTATTCATATTTCTCTTCTAAATGAAAAAAATATTTTTCCTTAAAAGATAATAACAAATGGTAAAGAGAATTTTACAGACAACTATGCAGTTGTTTAATTTTATTAAATTTCTTTGTAGCGTAGCAGTATTATGTGTAAGTAGAGATAACATTAATTTTTAATAGTTTTATTTTTTAGAGCAGTTTCAGATCCATGGGACAGTTAAACAGATGGTATATTTTTTATTTTTTTTTTTAGTTTTTGGTACTGGGAATTGAACTCAGGACCTTGCTGTAGCTAGGCAGGTGCTTGTGCCACTGAGCTATATCCCCAGCCCTAAACAGATGGTATACAAATTTACCTTAGACCAGTCACAGCCACACATGCATAGCCTTCTCTTGCATTCCCCAGCAAAAAAGTATATTTGTTACAGTTGGTGAACCTTCACTGATATATCATCGTCGCCCCAAGTCCATAGTTTATATTAGGGTTCACTCCTTGTGTAATATATTTTATCTAATTGAACAAAAGTGCAGTAGCAAGTATTCACACTTACACAGAGCAGTTTCATTGTGCTAAAAATTTTCTTTCTCACCTATCCATTACTTTCTCCCTTGTGGCCCCTGGTAGTCACTGATCTTTTACTATCTCCATATTTTTACCTTTTTCAACATGTGATATACTTGGAATAATACGGTATCCTTTGCAGATTGGCTTCTTTCATTAGTAATATGTATTCAGTTTCTTCCCTGTCTTTTCGTAGGTTGAAAGCTCTTTTTTTTTTTTTTTTTTTTTTTGGGAGGGGGGCACTGAATAACATTCCATTCTCTGAGTGTATCTGGCTATTTATCCAATCCTCGGCAGGATTTCTTAGTTATTTTCAAGTTTGGGCATTTAGAAGTAAAACTGCTGTAAATATCAAAATGCAGTTTTTTTTATGTAGATTGAAGTTTTCAGTTCCTTTTGTTAAATTTCAAGGAGCATGATTGCTGCATCATGCGCTAAGAGTATGTGTAGTTGCCAAATTGTCTTCCCAAGTATTCGTACTATTTTGCATTCCTATTTTAGTTTTTTAGTACATATTTGTAGTAAATGATGTTTATATTCATCTTAGGATATAGGTACATGTACTTTAAATGTACTTTCATTATGTATGTTGTCTCTTCACTCTTTTTATGCTTCTCCCCACCTGTCTTCCCTCTAGAGCCTCTTTTCCCATTTTCATTTTATTATTGTTATTATTTTAGCTCTTGTTTGTGACATACAATGACTACATTCATTGTGGTATTTGGTATGTGTATATCACAAATTCTAAATCTTTGTATGTTCTCCCTCCCTCTCCACTTCCCTTATCCTTGGTCTCCTCCATCCCATTCTGCTTACAAAAGATCTATCCTCCAAATTCCTTTTTTATCCTTTTATTTTGCTCTTTATTTATACTTTACATTACTTACCTAAGAGAAACCATATGGTATTTAAACTTGTGTGTCTGATTTATTTCACTTAACATTGTTTTCCAGGTGAATCCAGTTTCCTACAAATGTATTGAGTTTATCCTTCTTTATAGCTGAGAAGTATTCATATATATACCTCATTTTCTTTATCCATTTCATCTGTTGGACTTTTAGGCCACTTCCGGGAATTAGCTGTTATGAATTGTACTGCTATAAACATTAGTATGCATGTATCACTATATTATTATGTCTTTAGCTTCTTTGTGAAGATACCTAAATTTGTAGTTTTAGTTCTTTGACAAATCTCCATACTGATTTCCATAATGGTTACACTAATTTAGATTCCCACCAACAACGCAAAAGGGTTCCTTTTTCACAGCAGCCATTCTAGCATTTGTTATTGTTTGATTTCTTGATGATGGCCGTTCTTTCTGGTGTAACAGGAAATCTTAGTGTTGTTTTAATTTGTATTTCTCTGATGGCCAGAAATGTTGAAGATTTTTTTCATGTTTATTGGCCATTTACACTTCTGAGAAGTATCAGTTCATGTCACTTGCCCATTTTTTGATTGAGTCTTTTTTTTTGGCAGGTGTTCTAATTTTTCTTTTTTGTAGCTCTTTACATAGTCTAGATATTAGTCCTGTGTCACAAGAATAGCAGACAAAATTTCTTTTTCATTGTGTAGGTTGTGTCTTCACCCTGGTGATTGTTTCCTTTGCTATTTAGAACCTTTTTAATTGGATATATTCTATTTGTTGATTCTTGTTATTTCTTGTGTAATTGAAGTTCTGTTCAGAAAGTCGTTAACTAAGCCGAAGACTTCAAGATTGTTTTCCTATTTTATCTTCCACTAGGTTAAGTGTTTCTGTTTTAGCATTTAGTTCTTTGATCCATTTTGTTTCAGTTCACTACATAGTGAGAGATGAGTCCGTTGTAGCTTTGTAGTATGACTTGAAGTCAGGTTTTGTGATGTCTCTTGCTTTGCTCTTGTGGCCCAAGATTGCTGTGTCTCGTCTGGCTCCATATAAATTTTAGGATTGTTTGCTCTAGTTCCGTGAGGAAGGTTGATTGGAATTGTGTTAAATCTGTAAGTTTTAGAATTATGGCTATTACTGATTCTGCCTATCCAGAAACGGGGAACATCTTTCCATTTTTCTGGTGTCCTCTTCAATCTCCTTTTTTAGAGTACTGTGGAGTACTTTGTAGAGGTCTTTTACTTCCTTTGTTAACCCTTAAGTATCTAAGTTTTCTTGGTAATATTGTAAATGGTGTATTTTCCTAATTTCTTTCTCAGTTCATTATTGGTATATAGGAACACTGTTGGTTTTCATGTGTTTATTTTTTGTCCCTGTGTTATTTTGTATCCTTGGTGTAATTGGTTATGAATTCAAAGTCTTTTTGTGGAATTTTTTGGGTCTGCTATATAGAGGACTATGTCATTTGCAAATAATGATAATTTGACTTTTTTCTCTCTTATACCTTTTATTTCCCTTGTCTGATTGCTCTGGCTAATGTTCAAAGACCATGTTGAACAGAAGTGGTGATAGCAGGCATCCTTGTTTGTTCTTGATTTGAGAGGGAAAGTTTTCAGTTTTTCCCCGATTTAATAAGATGCTGACCATTGGTTTGTCATAAATGGCTTTCATCAGAGTCAGGTAACACCCTGTTTCTTCAGGATTTTTCATCATGAATGGGTGTTGGATTTTATCAAAATCTGTTTATGCGTCTGTTGATAAGAGGTTTTTGTCCTTCCATTTATGAGACATATTACCTTTATTGATTTGTGTATATTAAATCACCCTTGCAAAACTGGGATGAAACCGACTTGGTCATGATATATGATCCTTTCGATGCTTTGTTGCATTCTATTTGCCAGTAGCTTATTGAGAATTTTTGCTTCTGTGTTCATTAAGGAGATTTACTGGTACTTTTTAATTTTTAGTTGACTCTGTGGTGATAGGAGTAATGTTGGCTTCCAGAAATAAGTTTGGAAGCTCTCCCTACCTGAGGATTGTGGGTGTGACAACTCCCTTAAAGGTTTTACAGAATTCAGCAGTGAATCCATCAGATCTGAATCTTTTCTTAAATTGGTGGGTTTTTTGTTACAGCCTTGATTTCATAGCTTGTGATTTAATTGTTAAATATTTTAAAATTTTCTTGGTTTAGGTTAGGTAATTCATATGAGTGTAGTATTTGTCTATTTCTTCATGATTTTCTGATTTGTTGGAATATTTTTTGTAATAGTTACTATATTGTGGATTTCAGTGGTCGTTGTGATTTTACCATTTTCATT